AACAGATCTGATCGGAGGTGCCGCCGACGAGACCACCAATCCCTCCACGCCGTCGTCGCTGATCTGAAGACAACATGCACGCCACCGCAGCCAGGCCGGCTGCCGGCAACCGCAGCCGCCACACGAAGGGCCATCCGCAGCACCCGCAGCCCTGGCCCGCCGCGCCAAGCCGTCGCCGTCCGGGGACGGGCCGGTCTCCCGCCGCCATCCGCCGCGCCGCAGATCCCAAATCGGTCGCGCCACCACATGCCTTGGGGTCCGCCCCACCCTGAAGACGCGCGGGAGAGGAGATCCCCCGCCACCGCCGTCAGCCCCCGGGCTTAGCCCGGCGGCGTCTTCCGGCGGCGGCGAAGGGAGGGGAGGAGGGAGTTTGCGGCGGCAGCGGCTAGGTTTTTGGCCGCCCGAGTGCTTGGACCTGAAGACATGGAGCCTGCACGTCTACGTCTTTGACTCCCATCCGAGAGCGGCTAGGATGAAGTGCTTGCCATCGCCATCTGGCAGGAGGTAGATGAGGTTCTGGTCGATCATCTCTCTGTAGATGTAGGGGCCGGCGTCTGGGAGCAGAACGAGCGACGCCCTGGCCTTGCACCCTGGCCCTCCCGCCCTATAGATGAAGTACTCTGCTGGGCCGGAAGCAGCGAGGTGGATGCGGAGGAGGGCGAGGTTCTCCGATGACCAAACGATCTCCGACACCGTGGGGGCACTGTGGACGGTGGGGCTGTAGACGTAGAATCTGGACAGGCGCGGCGGATCGTTGATGACGAAGGTCACCTGGACCGGCGCTGATTTTGTGGAGGTTCTGGCGGTGGTGTCGTTCACGGGGAAGTCGTCGATGTATCCGTTTGCGTTGAGGAGGATGTAGTCCGGTCTGCCCGAGCGGAAGGCGGATTTCGACATTATGGGTTGGATTTGGGGATTGAGGACAGGGGAGGGACGAGCGACGCCAACGAGACTATATGGCGGCAGCTCTCTAGTTCGGTTCGGTTTCGTACTCCGAAGGCCACGGGCAATGCTACACATACGGGCAACAATTTTACGGGGTTTATGGAGAGGCTGAGGTGGGCTTTTTTAATTGGGTGCAAATCAGGATGAGGGGCCCCACCCCAACTGAAAATCAGGGGGGGAGGGGGCAAGTTTAATTAGAAGGAAAGAGCCCGTATTAGCCTATAAGAGTCTGTGAGTCTAGCATTTTTGGAAGGCCACACAACTCCGCTGCGTGTACAGTGTACTAACTGAGCGGTGGGCAGCACGGCCTCCACCGCCGGACAAATTCAGTCTTTCGACCCTTTTGCGAAAGTTGAGCTAACCCTGGTTTAATTTTTTTTCGAGATCCTACCATTTTCCTACCGCCGGGGTTCTTGGCGATAGGGGTGCACGCCCTAACGTAAAAAATTCTAAGTATTAAATACAGTGCTTGTACCCACCTACTGCCGGCCATCTCGGCGATAGGGGTGCACAGGCTACCGCCAACCTATTTGGCGGAGGAGCCAATATCCGCGCCTATGTCGCTGTTCTGGCAGGCGCAGGAGGAGCAGCGGTACAACTTGTTCCTTCTCGAGCAACACCGACTGATAGAGGAACATATCTACGACAAGCGCGCGAACGAGGAATTCGTGCCGGCCATGGCCGCTCACTCTGTGCATTTAAAAACCGAACCGAAAAACCATATACCGAAAATAAACCAAACTGAACCAATTTTATGGTTTTTATGGTTTCTAGTTTCAGTATGGTATGAACTTTTCATACCGATTTGAACTTGGTTTTTATGGTATATACCGGAAAACCGAACGGTTAACCGAATAAACCGAAGTAAAAAATAAATTTATATTTCTTGAGATAAACAACCATACAAGTTGTCATTTTTCTTGTACATGAGTCAAATGCACTACTAAGCACGTAATTTTTTCTTGTAACATAGTCATTTTTCTATTTTTAAAATGCTAAGCACGTCCATAACCATCAACAGATGAATCAATGCATGCATATATACTTATATATATAGTCATATACTATTTGTGTAGAATAGTATGTATTTTGAGTCATAAATTTGCTAATTATTATTACGTCATTTCCAAATTTGCGTCAACTTTGGTTTTTATGGTATATACCGAAACCATACCGAAATAATTTGGTATATACCGAAACCGAACCATATTTTAATTTCATACCATATTTACCGAAGTATTAATACCGTACAAACTGAAAAACCGTATAAATCGAACCATGTAACCGAATAAACCGAACGCACAGGGTGAATGGCCGCAGCGAATCCCAGCTTCGTTGCCGAGCATCAGGCGCTCTATGAGGCCGCCCGCACTCAAGCCGCCGCTCGCAACATACAGGTGGCGCAACCATACACGGAGGCGACGTTGACGACGCCGGCGATCGCAGACGAGAACATAGCCAGCCGCGCGTCCTACGCATCGCCAAACACTGATTGACTGCGCCGGTGGGATGATGAGCGTGCCGGCCCTCCACTTCCATCGTGGATCTCACGTCCACCAGCGACGGACATGTCTCATAATCCGATGAGAATGAGTAGGAAATGGAAGCGACGGGGCCTCAAATCTCATGTGGGCCGGTCCATCTCCCATGTTCTACTGTTCCTTGCCGGTGATCGCACCTTCACTTCGGGGATCTTATTGCTGCCTCTCATGAAGACAACGAGATGAGTCCAGAGATCACTGGAAGGGAACAAGAAGGACGTGGGGATGGACGCCGCCACATGCTAGGTTTAGGCCTGGTCGCTTTTTTTAATTAAAACATATAAAAAATGTAATGAATGTGCTCCGGTTTAGATGAAGATCATCCGGTTTGCATGTAATTCATTCAATTTGTTGAAATCATGTTTGAAATGTATGCAACTATAGTTGGATGGCCGGCTCCCACATCAGTGTCCGCGGACTGGTCGCCCCTGGTCCGCAGACAAATGCGTTGTCCAGTTTGGGGGGCCAGCATTGGAGATGCACTAAGACAAATAATAAAGTTGTTATTAGTCTATTTTCATGTGCACAACTAAGTTTATATTTTATGCTAGAATTGCAATGGTTCTTGAATGTAAGGTTTAAAGGAAAACCTAGTTGAATGTGCAGAAAGATAAAAACCAAAGATCCCTTGTCAGACCTCTGGGCCAACTCATTTTTTGTTAATGCTTCTGTTTTCCTAACCATGAGCATTGTTAGTGTAACAAGAATGCCACCAATAACGAGAGCATGTTGTTAGGGTAAGAATGGAGTTCAATAGACCCAATGATACAGGGCAAGCGCTATGATGGTCCTATCTTTATGAATTGAAGGTGGATTTGAGAAAGAACATGAAGAACGAGGAGGAAATTATAAGGAAAACTAGCACAAATTGTAGCAAAAGGTACACATGGATAAATAGTTGATTCAAATCATGAGAGAGAGAGAGAGAGAGAGAGAGAGAGAGAGAGAGAGAGAGAGAGAGAGATGAAACAAGCTAGACTTCTTCCCCAAGTTCTAAGACATGGAGGAATCTTCCCCACAAGTTTGGTGTTGGGGTTGGAGTACTCGACATGGCCTGTGAAGGGCATCTACAATGGCAGATCTAGCAACCCTACTTCTGCTCGATGTGTGACTCAACCCTTGTCAGAGGTTTCCTACATGACTGGCCTAAATCGGCTCGACATGGGCGGCTTGGACTCTCGACATCACGGGATCAGTGTCGATGGTGGATGCCCATAGGCGTTGCTCAAAGTCAACACCATGTGTCCACTTGACTTCGATTAGGTGACTCTTCATTGGTTGAACCTAGAAATGGCGGCATTCACGTGTTGTTCTCTTGTTGAAAACACTGCTCAAAGTTTACTCAGACTTTTTTTCAAGGGTGAAAAGCTATTAGCTGACCTTAGGGGTAGCTTGGCAGCAAAGTTTTTGGAGAACTGTGGTAATTGAAAACCACGGTATTCCGATAGATGGACAAGGAATACTACAGTTTTTTAAAACCAATGTTTTTCTCAGTTTTACATGTGTTTGGCTGGTGCTGTTTTATCAAAGTTTTGACCCTAATATTTAGTATGGATGACTGAGTAATTAGCGGCTGTTAACGGCCGGCAGCATGCAGCCGCCATGCACACGTCCGCTCGATCTATAGATGCTAGGATACGTAGAATATGTCTATCCCTTGGTGAGCTTGATTCGCTCATGATGAAGAGAATAGATGGAGACTAGCACGTGGTAAACAAATCTAACTGAATCGGTCTAGGAGATATAATACATGCCGTTTACCATATACTAACAGAAAAAGAAAAAGGATCGCAGCTGGATACTGTTATCTCGAGTAGACGGCGATGTCAACTGCGATGCGATCGCCCCGATCTTTTCTCTCCGCTCTGTCTAGAAAAAAGAGGTCAGGACCTCTTTTCCAGATACTCCAAAAAGACCATGGTTTCAGAGATACCGTGATTTACAAAACTTTAGTTTTTGCTGAAGCCAAACGCATCAAAGTATTTAAAACCATGTTTTTTCTTTCAGAAACCGCGGTATTGCCAGAAAACTTTAAAATAACTTTGCTGCCAAACGCAGCCTTAGCATTTGACTATTTGTATCTAGTGACAGCGTTGTTTCAACGTCATTTCTTTCATGGAGGTGTTGTTGTTGGAGCACCTTCCCTATTACCCTAGGGTTGCCATCATTAATTGTAGATGGTCATGCTGCATCTGTTCGTCCCGTTGATCGCCTTTTTCCCTTTTTGTCAATAACTAAAAAAGTGGATTATTTCTAGAAAAAGCTGCAAGCTATTTTGTACAAATTCGCAAAAAGGAAGAAGCTACAATTGGACAATTAGCTAGAGTAATAATTATTGCTCACTGTTGATATTTATCAATATGAAGAGTACATGCTTGTTTGCCAAAAATAAATAAATACTGTAGTAGTACTGGTTACACAATTAAAATGTGGGAGTGGAACAGTTCCACACATCATGAAAACGAAGTACGGAAAGCAAATCTTATTGGGCGCCCATGCAAAACGGTACTTCTGTTAATGGGCTGGGCAAGTGAAACCGGACGGGCACTTCTTGCCGCAGTGGTTGAGGAGGAGGCTGATGTCCACAGGCACGTTGAGGTGGAGGCCGAGGATGTTGGCCCTGACGGCGATACAGAGGCAGACGGCGGCGTCGAGGTCGGCCAACCCCTGGAGCAGCGGGCAGCATTGGTCGTGCACCGGAACGCCGATCTTGAGGCCGAGCAGTTCGCTGAGAACGTTGGCGCACACCCTCAGGTTGAGCACGTTGATGGAGCACTGCCCGCCGTGGCCGTGGCCGTGCCCTCCTCCTTCATGGTATGGCGGCGGAACGACGATGGGTGGTGTCGGCACGACGACCGGCGGTTGGCAATAGGTGCTTCCGCAGCCGTGGGCGGCGACGGCGGAGAGGAGGAGGCTCAGGGCGATGAAGAGGGCAGCACTGGGTGCCATTGTGATTGTGTGGGTGTGCTAGAATGATATAGCTACTCCAGTGCTTTGGGTTTGGGATGCAAGAGAGCTTGGAGAGAGTTGTATTTATAGCCTGGTGATATGGATGCATGCATGGGATGGGGTCGAGCTGTTTGACGTAGTAGCTTACGTATGTATGCATGATCAGACGTGGCCATGTGTGATTCGATCGGTTTCAAGACTGCTAGGTTGTCCTCTCGATGTATCATTTGTTTTGGAGAGATGAGACAAGATTTAAGCATGATATGCTTTATGAATTCTGGAGATATGGCAACAAGTTGAGCAACACCTTTGCATGTTCATGCATGTTACGCAAACAGTGCAATACCTTGTCATGCTACACAACATATTTTAGATTATGTATAAGCAAGTTGAGAAAGCATCAGGTATTTTTAGGCAATAATTAACCATGGGGTGTGAACGCTTGGACTTAGTTAGCGGTACGCGGCGCAGAGGACACGGAAATATGGGCGCGCATAGACACCGGAAGCTAAGCCGATATCGAGGATTACGTTACGTCCATTCATTTGGCGTATTATAAGCGTGCGTGAGGTGAGGGAGACCATGAATGAACAAGCTGGAGCCATGTATGATATGCTGGTTCTACAGATGCATCCATTGATAGTCATCTGGTTTTAGTTATGGAATGATAGAAATTAATCATGTGCTCATCATTGTCATTTCGATATGATAGGCAGAGCTTTACCTGAGTTTTCTTTTGAGGGGAACTTTACCACAGATTAAGCTTTACGGATTAATTCATTTGTGTCCTAGCTAGGCGTCGGTTTATGAGACCTTAAAAATATTTTTCTTTAAACCTAAACCTTGCCAGATTATTTTTGGGTGGGAACCAAAGAGTTTTATTCCATAGCAACGGGCTTACAATCTGCTAGTATAATTTCTTGAAGAAATCCGGCCCCCTATGCAACCAACAAGCGGTGCTTCGAGCTGTCCACACATAATTTGCGAGATAATGAGGTACCTCATTATGTGACCTAGCTATCTTAAGAGGTTTAAACCCCGTTCTTCCATTATGACCTTGATTTCCTTAACCAGATTACCAAAAAGCGAATTGACGGGGAAAACATTCGACATCGAAGATAGACCCAATGATACGGGGCAAGTCTATCTGATGACCTGCTATTCATGAATTTGAGGTGGATTTGAGGAAGAATACAAGCTCACAAGGAAAAGTAACACATATCACAACAAAATGTACACATGGATAAATAGTTGATCCAAATCATCCACAAGAGAGAGATGGAACAAGCTAGGGTTCTTCCCAAGTCATCACATATCTCAGGGCGTCACGTCGTGTCGCCGATCTCCCGGGGTGTCTCCTCCTCGCGTCGCCGATCTCCTGCGAACAACGAAGACACGCGAACGGTTCCTCACGGATCCTTCGAACGGTTCGTCCGAGCACCGCAAGTGCGATGCCTCCAAGGTATCCACACGTGTGGGGAGCAGTGTCGAGCGGCGGACTGCTTGGTCCGGTCGCGCGGCCTGGGCGTGGGGAGTGGTCGTGGCTGTCCAGGGAGGCAAAAGATCAAACCTAAGAGGTGTGCTCACTCCCCTTTATATAGACCTCCGAGGTGGGTTGAACACTTGAGCCCACTGGGAGTCTGCTTCCATTTTCCACTCGGATCCAATCCGAATGGGCTGCAGCCCCTTAAGTGTGCGACCTTATAGGTTCACATACACATGGACACTACTAGAGTCGATAGTTGGTAGCGGCTCCTAGCAGAACATGCCAGCTCCCATGTGTGCGTAAAGTCATTTGACGAACCTCGACAATGTGTCATATGCAACATTCCTTTTGCCTCACGATATTTGTTGTCGAGCTCAAGGCGAGTACTTGTCACCCTTGTGGTAGCTCGAGCTCTCTTCTCGAAACCGTGATACAGATTCCCGAACTTGGTTAACACTTAACCGAAGTCGCATGGCCATGC